TTTGTCTGATTCCAAAAAATATATATCTCTGATATTCAAATAACCAGATATTTTAGATATTCAAATTGAATTACTTTTAATTACAATAGAGAATTTTGTTTATAATAATATAATTGAATATCTATTTATATATAATATGATTGCTATCATCCAAATATATTAAAAACACTTCAAGATTGTACTTCTTTATTAATTTTATCAAAAGTATCGATCATAATGTTTCGTGTTTTTTTCCAACAATTTATTAATATCGTCAAACGTTAATCCTTCCGTAGATATTGGTGGTAATGCTTCCACAATAACTCGACCTTGAAATAATCAATTGTTAATTTCTCTAATTTCTAATATTTTAATATTAATTTTTACGTATAAATAAAATTTAATGTTTATATAAATGAAAAGACTTACCAGAATCAAATCTCTTTTCTTCATTTGATAGAAAATAATAATAAGAAGAGAAAACAAGTGGTATTATAGGTAACTGGTTACGTATAGCAATATAAAAGGCACCTTTCTTGAATGCGTTAATTTTACCATTATTACGTCTAGTTCCTTCGGGAAATATTAATAATTTCATCTATACAAAAGAAAATTTAAAGAAAATATTATTATACGATATATTTTTGAAAATGATTTTATTATATTACGATTATTAAATTACCTTTCTTTCTTTAATATAATCCGTGGCGTCGTTAAGAATTTTTCGAGCTAAATTCGACTTCCTGTTTATAAATATCACTTTACCGAACCAACAAGCCAAACCACTTGGCCAAATATAAAAAATCATTCGTCTTGATATAATTGTGCTTTTTTTCAAAAACGGCCATATTTGATACAATCCAACACAATCTAAAATACTTTGATGATTCATTACTACTATGCACGGCCTCTTTTGTTCTAAATGTTCTCTTCCTCTTATCTCCCAATTTACTCCCATGATTTTGGTAACAGGAGCAAATGCTAATGCCAATGTTCTGAAAATATATTTCAAAATATATTATTTAATGAATAATGTAATATCAATAAACAGTGTAAATAAATTAAATTATCACAATAGTGACAATAAAATTAAAATTTATTATTATTATTTCTTTTGTAAAAAATTATATACAAAAATTAACTTTCTTTATTAGGATTCTTCAATTATCTATAACAATAAATATAAGAGATATAGATATTTCAAGAATTGTTTTTTTTTTTTTTTATTTTCATTCACTTTATCACTGATTCGTAGGAAAAAAATATTTCTTATCATTGAAATAGAAAAAATTGTTTATATTTTGTTTCATCGACACATGTCTTAAGAAAGATATTTAGAAACATGCGTGTCTCCGATTTGTTGAAAATTATTTCAGTTCTAGAATGCACTTTGCTATTTTAATTTCTATAATATCTATGTAATACTACATTTTATATATTTCTTTTTCACATTACAAATAGTTATAAATCAATTATGAATTTAAATATTAAATATACTTCAAATAGTTACTTACAATAAATTTTTTTCGTTTCTTGGTAAAAATATAAAAATTGGTAATAAAAAGAGCGAAATTATGCTCGTGTATAAAAAGTAAATACCGAACTTTATATAAAAACGAAAAGTTCCACTCATTTTATATAAAACAAAGGAAATAGATATCAATAAAAGATACATCCCGAAATGAACAGATATTATTCTTTATTTTAAAGTTAAATACACTAATACACTAATATAATTGTATCGCACCACTAAAATCAATATTGTAGCTTGTTAAAAAAATACAGATATTAATACATTGATACAATTTTAAGAAATATAAATTAAGTTTGACAAAGTTCTTTTCTGATATGAACTCTATTAGTTTCAATCACTAAATGACTATTCAATATTCCATGCTCTTACATTTATTTATTATAAATATATGCATCCTTTTTTTATATATTTTTTTATTGAATTATTTTATATATGAATTATATAAATTTATTTAACATATGATGCGTATGAAAATTAATTAAAGTTAATTGAAATTCAAATTAAAATACATTTATTTAGAAATTGTTAATCAAAATTAATATAAAAGAATGCAAAAGTATTTAATATTTAATGATGGATAATAAGAGTAATAATAGTAAGATCATAATCATATATTAATATATTATCATATATTCAAAATCAAAAGTAAAGTTTAAATTTCATAAGTATAATTACTCGTATAATCTCATATGAACAATTCCAATTAAAACATATACAAGACAAATAATTTATTTTCATTGATTTGTTCTCATTTATTATTACAAGTTGTACACTTTTCAATATATTTTTCTATATTTATAAATTATAATTTATATTTATTAAAATTTTTTTTAAATAAATAAAACTATTATATGAAAAATTTTATTAATAAACTTTTTAATCATTTCATAACGTATGATTTAAATAATTAATTTAATAAATTATTAATTTAATAAATTTATTCAATTAATATATATGTGTGTATGTATATATAATTATATATGTAAATTATTAATCTTAAATTATAATATAATATAATTATAATGATATAATAATTTTAATTGAATAAAATGAATATTAAAAAACTTCTTTTCATTATTTTTCTTTTTTCATTTTTTTCATGTAAAGTTATATAACTAGCAAATAAATGCAAACAAATTTATACAAAATTTATATTGCAAACATTTTTTGCATTGAATAAAATTTCTAAGAAAATCTACTATAATTCATGATATGAATTTATGATTGTGAAATTACCTGAATTCAAAACAAGTAAATAATGAATATACATGATATTATATCTTACATAACAAAATAACAATTTTAGATTGCAACCTATTTCTCTAAATATTGGTAATTTTCCAAATCTGTATCGCAACTGTTCATATAAGGTATTTTATTGCTCTTGGTTCATATTATTTGTTTTTGCATATTTTCTGAAAATATTGTTTTGCAAATTGTTCTCAAAACAATTTTCAATTATATTAATATTCAAGAAATCACGATAAAGTAAATTTTTTTCTATTAAAATAAAATTGGAGCTATTTTGCAATGTATGCAGCTGCATTGTTTTGTTGAAAAATATATTCAAGTTTGGAAATGTATTCTAGATGATTATTTTTTTTTCTTATCAAATATTTATTATTATCCATTTTTCCATTGAATATTTGTCTTTTTAAAATAAAAATCATGATACCATTCATTTGAATTTCTTCTCATTCGAAAATTTTCACTGTCATTTCACAAAAGTGAAGCGTTCTTTTTTGTATTTCGCTGTTAATGAAGGTTTCTTCTTTTAATTTAAATCTTTTAATATTTCACTATCTTAATACACAATGAATATTTATATTAACACCAGTTTTCTTCATTATTTGTCTTCATTATTTGTCTTCATTATTCGTTAATTGAACACTATACGCAAAATAGCTCATTTATTCCGATCAAACAACAATGATGGTCATTATTTTCAACATCCTTCGAAAAATTATGTATTATTTTAAAACTTTTTTAAATTATTTTTAACACTGATAAACATTGTTCTTTTAATTCGAGAATCTATTTTAATTTTCAATCAATTTCTTTCCGAATTTCAGAAATTCAAATTTGTATAACATAGTACTTCTATATTCTCACTCTTTGATAAATCACAGAAAGTTTATAAACACTGAAATCATTGAACAATTTATAAACATACAGACACAACATATTGTCACGTTCTCCTATCTAGAAAATAGTTTTTGCTTATTGTACAAAAAATCTTGTAATATTGCGATTTATTTCCAATGATTTATTTCGCATACTCCAGGCTCATAATATCACGATAATATTTGTTAAAATAAAAATATAATAAATTTGTTAATAATAAATATGAAATTACATCATTAAGAAATTAAAAATAGCATGCATGCATACTTTATCACCTTCTCTAATTACAATCAAAATGAAACAAAATTTTTTTATATCTATTTATCATGATTGCTATAATCTAAAACGTATTATGATTATAAGTATAAGATTATACTAGTGATTAAAAACGTTCAAAATGATATTTTGTGTTTTTTTTTTCAATAATTTGTCAACATTAACTCCTATCAACCCTTTCATAAATTTAATATTTATATAGAAAAAAAACTTACCAGAATCAAATGTCTTTTTTCCCTTATCGTTAGATAACAAATAATAAAAAGAGAAGACAACTGGCATTGTTGTATTGTACGTTGAAAGGCATCTTTACTGTGGAAATATCCATAATTTAATATAAAATATTTTTAAAATTAATATATATAATATGTATATAAATATTCACTTACCTATAAATTATTTGTTAAATTATCTTTTTCTTCTTTTGTACGATTCATGAAATTATTAGTAATATTTCAAGCTTTCTCCGAGTTATCTCTATCTATAAATGTTACTTCACAAAACTTTTTATATGTTCTTATATCTTCTTAGACATATGTTATATTTTTTTTTCATTAAAATATTAATCTTATTTATTATTTTTTATATTTCGATTTTGATTTTCTATTTCTCGTTTCTTAATTAATTAATTAATTATTTATTTATTTATTCCTTTGTCGTTATCTTTCTTACATTTTATCATATAAACTTAAACTAATTTATCATATACAAGTCGTATAAATTTTAATAATCCATTATGTTAGACAGACCATTGTTCAATTTTATTATTTCTTACATAATCTTCGTTTCTTTTTCATTATTCTTTTTCAATATCTACTTCTTAGCCATTCTTCTCTTTAAAATAAATACTTACCCAGATCAAGGAAATATTTCATTTTTAATAGAAATATATAAACTCGCGTTTAATACAATATCTTTATTTTCTGTCGCATTTTCTCAGAAAATATATAAACTCTAAGAATGCAGGATATTAAAATATATTATAAACATTAAGATCGATAAAAAGAAGAAGATAATAGGCAAATCATTGTTATAACTTCTAGAAGAAGAGATCTATTCACATGATTCGAGTGCAATATAGGTATCCTCCTAAAGAGATCGAATTCTCATTTGATTGTTGATCTTGATTTTATTTTATCGTTTTATCGTTAAATTTAAAACATTGAATAAAATAATTATTATGCATCGCAGCATTCTTACAATACTGACATTCATTATCCGCTATAATTACAATTATACGATAATAAAAAATAACAATATCTAACTTATTTCAACTTATATATAACGTGATACTTTTTGTCGCTTTGATTTAAGAACTAATAGAATTATTTGAAGATTGCATTTCTCTATTAATTTCATTGAAAGCATCGATCATGATGCTTCGTGTTTTTTCCAACAAACTATCAACATCGTCAACCGTTAACCCTTTCGTCGATATTTCTGGCAATGCTTTTATAATAACTCGACCTTGAAATAACAGATCGTCAATGAATATTAATTTTTTTGAACGAAATAAACATTTGTACAGGAAAAACTTGTACTTACCAGATTCAAACTTCTTTTCCCTCTTAGATAGGAAATAATAGGAAGAGAAGATAACTGGTACTATTGGTAATTGAGCACGTATAGCAACGTGAAATGCGCCTTTCTTAAATGAATGTATCGTACCAGTACTGCGTCTCGTTCCTTCCGGATATATCCACAATTTGATCTATGCAGAAGACATTTTAAAAGCAATTAATATATATAATATATAACTATTCATTTACGTAACATTCCCGTACGTAAAACACATTTATTCAAGTTACATTGTTTTCTTTAATATAGTCGGTGGCGTTATTAAGAACAATTCGAGCCGAATCCGAGTTCATCCTGTCTATAAATATTAATCTACCAAGCCAAGCAGCTAAACCACATGGCCACAAATAGAAAATCTCTCGTTTCGCTATAGCTGTGCATTTATTCATTATTGGCCATATCTGATACATCCCCAAGAAATCTAAAAGACTTTGATGATTTGCTACTATTATATATGTTCTGTCTTGTTCCAATATTTCTCTTCCTCTTAATTCCCAACTTACTCCGATGATTTTAGTAATAGGAGCTACTGCCATTGCTAGTAATCTAAAATGATATTACATGTTATGACATTTATAAGTAAACTGTATCAATAGATACAAAATTTAATATAATAATTACATACAGCGTGTCAATATATTCGTAAGACATCTTAAAAGAATCGATTGTAAACAGGAATAAAAATTGAATAACACAGCATAATTTATTTATGTTATAATCAAGTTATAAGCAAGTTTAAGTTTATAAATATTAAATAAAATGAGATGGAGATAGTGTTATTCTACTTTTCCTCCGACAATACAAACTTTTTGAATTATTACTTAACAAATAAATAACTCAACCAAAACTTTTCTATTTTTGTTTTTGTTTTAATCTTTGAAATCGATCCTTTGAAGATTCTATCCACCTGTTAATTAATATCTCTACAGTTTAATAAATTTGTTCTACAATAAAATGAAAATTGACAGATAGTCGAACATTGGCGTGATAGAAAAAAAGATGACACGAAGAGATATAGACAGATATTCAAGGAAAGAAGTTTTAATCTCTAAAAAAAATAATAGATGATTACTAACCGTAAATTTTTCACGTTTCTTGGTCGAAATATAAAAATTGGAATTAAAAAAGCTGTAAATGTTGCTATGTGTAGAGTAAAGATGACGTATTTGAAATAATAACGAAAAGTTCTGCTCGTTTTGTATAAGATGCACGACATTACAAGAATAATGGCAACAAAGATCATCCCGAAATAATTCATCATCATTTTTTATGATCACAAAGATCGTCACGCACCAAAAGATTATATTTCTTCTATATTAGAGCACTTACACAAAATCAATAATCACGCTTCTTTACAATTAACAATTGCACTTTTACAGCCTCGATTGTGAGTAACAAACTTCTTTTTCGACAAAAATCATACTAAATTTTAAATTATATTAACCACACTAATTTAATTACTCTTCTTTCACTGTTTGATTTTTTCACTATTCTTCTTCTATTAAATATCTAACAATTTCTGTCGAGATATATATTTTTATTTGTATATATTTCACTTAATATACCTTCAACGACCAATCACAATTGAGTTAAGCTTTTTTATCAAATGTAACAGACACAGGCCAGAGTTCAAATTGTAAAATCATGCTTAAGAATTGATACGACGATGAATTATATTCTTTTTTTTAATACTAACATCTAAAAAATTTTAGAACGCGAATTATTCACGATTCGAGAAGTCGACAGAAAGTGAACAGAAAAAATGGAAAACGCACATTATGCGCACAGTCGAGTGTTAAAGTTTATTATCTTTGTTTCACGTCAAATTGAACGATTTCGTAAAGAAATTTAAATACACTTTATATATTACAAATTGATCATTTAATTCAATCTCTCAAGATTCTTCTGGAGAATAGCTCAAAGTGTATCACATTCAATGCAAACGAATACTAAAAGGATTCTATTTATTAGAATGTGGAATGAGTTTACATGCACTTCGATGTGGCCTTGCTTTGGAGATATATATATCATAATTTTATAAATCTCTTTTATGTTAGATAACTGCAACACAGACGATCGTTTGGGCGGTCGTTAACTGAATCACGAATAAGTTGATCGTAACATCAAATCTTTTGTAAATAAGATTTATTTTATAAATAAAATATAATGAAATAATAATCATTAACGAATTAAAATTTATAAAATATGAATTAATAATGACGAAAGACAAAGTATTAGCAAAACGATATATCACAATTGTCTAAAAATTTATACAAAACGTGATCTATGAGTTTGACAATTCATAAAACGTTATATACAATCATTCGAACAATCGATCAATTCCTCAGAAGAAAAACGTACATACAAAAAAATTAGATACTTATTTAATTTTATTTCACATTATGTACAAATTTATCTTTTAGAATGTAAAAAATCATAAATCCATGAATATTTTAATAAGTGCAGGAATAGGAGAACAATCAGATCCAAAAAAAAAAAAGAAACAAACATAAGTACATTCGAGATAAATATTCTACATTTTTGTATTAATTAATTTTTCAAAAAATATAAATAAGAAAATATAAATGGCCACACTTCCGTGAATTTTTCTCATTTCTACTTGTGATGCTTTTGTGATGCTAATGAGAAAAGATAAATAAATCAAGGAACGCCCATAAAGAATGGATCTTTATGAGCTCGCAACTTCCTCAATATTTTTTCCCGCTAATTCTTTATCTTGTAAATGCAACATGCGTTGTTTAACACATAATGAAGAAGTTTGGTCGTAATTTAAAATATTTCATGGAACAATTAATTTCAACAAAAATACAAAATATCAAACTTCAGATGACAATATATCAGAAATTTTTCTTTTTTTAAAATCTAGAAAAGTGCTTTAACGTTTATTTGAATTATTATATTTTTTACTTCAACGATCACGGTACTTCAACATTATCTAAAAAATGATACAAACAAATGAATATTCCGTATGAATCTTAATTATAAACTATTTAATTACAAACTAAACACTATTTATTATTTTTTTTTTCAATTAAATTAAAAAACAGTTTTTGAAACGAACAAAGAACTATCACGAAGCGATCTGAATAATCAGAAATTGATCCAAGTTTATTCTATCGTAACTAATCATCTACAAAAATCAATATAAATTAAAATTCGAAAAACTTTTGAGCAAATTTTTTTCAAATTTGCAATTTTTAAAAGCAAACCAAATATATATATATATATGAATACTGAACTTTTATTTGTCAATAATTATTTGTCAAGACACTTTTGTTTGCGACAAACCAATCATCTCGTTCGAATTCAATTCAAACCAAACGATTCTAAAAAAAAAAAAAAAAAAGAAAAAAAATCATAAAAATCGCGAGAATTTTCCTCTACTGCGGAACGAGATCATCATCTTTTGCATAGCGATTTCCTTGCCTTCGTATACGTGACCATCTTGATAGGTGAACGTTAACACGTGTGCAGCAGTTAACACGGGCAGAAACGGTGCAAAACGATACTTCTCGTGAAATCACGACATCGATAAACCCTTAACGGTGCATCTGGCTACGCGGAATTCCGGGCCGTAGGATTTTCAATTCGATTCGCTCGGCAAACTGGCAATCTAATCTTATGTAGAACGCTTTTCATTCGATCCTGTTGCTCGATACACGATTTTAACGAACACACGTTGCTCTCCCTTCAGGAATCCGCATGACGATAGTGTTTACGATTAGATTAATCCGTTGTAGATTCACGGTGTTGATAAGCTTGTAACGCTTGATGGGAACGAAGTTTCGATGTGTGTTTGGTCAAGGTTCAATGGTAACTCGATAATGTAATTTGCCTTGATGGAGTTTGGTGTGATGTGATATTAGAAGAGAGATGATTTGATCTTCTAACACATTCGGAAGAGACTTGAATCGATGTGTAGATTCGGATCGGTGTTTTGGTCAAAAGATTCTGATTAGAGGTGGATTATTTCTTTGATTGATATACAGGATTTTATTGAGAGTAAAATTTTCGCTCTTTTGTTCATATTCACGTTTTGATGTGGATTTTGATGGCTTTTAAATATATCATAGAGAGCGAGATTTTTAGGAAATATTTAAAAAAATTTAAGATCTATTAGAAGATATTATATTACAGGAAAAAATTGTTTAAAATCTTGTCCTTTATTTAAAAATGATGAATAAATAATGGTCGACGAGTTTACTTATCGAAATCGGAAATTTTCTTTGAAATACTTGATTGTATAAAGAATTATTTTTAGAAATTATACTATATCAATGTTAACTAATATACTATTATATTAATCTAAGATCTATCAGATCTTCAAAATAATATTATTGAAGACAATAATTGGAAAATTATCTAATATTTTGAACTTTGATTCTACTTCAATCTACAACGATTACAATTAAATATAACGCGTAATCAGGAAAATATTTCCTATCCTTTTTCATTCGATTGCCTTAACATTTCGAAACATCTTAAATAAAAATGATGTCTTATTTTTATTTAATTTTTTCTGTCTATGAAATATCTAAATTTTAATCACTGTTTCGAAATATATAACTTTATATATAACTAAATATAAACATAGACATAAGAATAATATAAATTATTAATAGTTAATAAAATAAATTATTATTACCGGATATAATAATTTTAATTAAGAAGCAAGATCAAACATCTTTTTCTTCGTCAATTTCACTCATTGTTAAAAAAAAAATAAAAATACAAATAATTTAATTATATTGATAATTTTTTCTTTTAAAAAAATCAATATCACAATGGCATAACTCTAAATAATTTTGCAAATTATTTTATTGAAAATAGAAAATTCGAAATCTAAGAATTTAAGAAATTAAGAACGAAAATTAAAAGATTCTGTGTTTTTTCCATATGGATTAATAACCGCATCGATTAATTTATATGCATCATATGTAACTGGTATTAAGAAAAAAAAAGAAAAAAAGAGTTACGTATTCCACATAATGAAATTCCAGATAATGATATTCAGCTTGCGTCAGAGCGTGTTCTTCAAGGATTCGGTTCTCCATTTTTAAAGGCAACGACCTCATCGTACACACTACCTTCTCCTCATCTTATGTGGCCATGAAGTTTCTATCATATCCATGAACGTGAAATTATTTTTCATTCTCTATCAGTACGTAAATATCACATCAAATGGTGTTGAATCAACCCAAGATCAGATGTTAAAGGCTATCAAGACGACCTTCAATATTTTATAAGCATAATATATACTTCAATGATGGGATGAAGTGTACTAAGATAGAATACGACAAAACGATTATTATTAAAACAGAAAAGGTCCCATCAGTAATTATATATGTATCGACTAATAACATAAATTTTCAAATTAATTTTTTTCACACATTGTACGTTTATACAATATAAATTTGTTTTTATGTTACATATTTTAAAAAATAAATTTTAATGTTACTTCGATCGATTTTAATTTACTTAAAAATAGTAACAAATGCGAAAAAATAATACTATAATTGCTCGAGTAATCTTTCTCTTTTAAAAGAACGATCCTGAAACCTGTTCTTCAAATGTTTCCCTTTTTCACGTATCAACATCGATTCCATGATTTTTATGACAAATCTCGAATAGCAACGGACCATGACGTTTGGATTGGTCCATTAACCGAGCCTTGAAGCACATTCGTTCCTTTTTTTTTTTTCTTTGTTTACTTCGATTATGTATGCCATCGCGCGCATAAATTTTATTTCCTCGGAATTGGAATGTACTCTTAATCTCATTTTTTCGATTTCTTATAGGAGAATCATGATTGTTACGAGTGAATGTATCTTGAAATATCGTTTACACTTGTATGAATAAAAAACAATAAATTCGAATGTATAAATCATCAGATAAGATTTTATTAATTCTGTACTTGTAAAATCACCTTCGTTTCATAATTGGAACACTGTATTATATAATTATCTAAGATGAATAAAAATGAATAAAATATGTTATTTAATTTGTTCTTAAATCTTTATAGTGTAAATTGTAAAATGCATATATTTAATAAATGATTTAATCATGTTATCTCTATAACAATTATTAAAAAATGTGTAGCAATGTTAATACAATAATTAGAAATAACAATAAAATATTTGCTAAATTTTATATCGTATATCTTAAATTTTATATCTTAAATTATATAACAATTGAACCTACCAATTATAAATAAAAATTTAAAAATTGAATTATTCGATTTTAAATTTCACAGGCCATTGAACGAAGTGATATATTAAATTCTCTGTTCTCAGTCTCACCTGCTGTGTTCAACTTTGGAAACGTTCTTCCTTTTTTTCTCTCTCTCTCTCTCTCTCTCTCTCTTCTTTCTTTCTTTCTT